GAGGCCAGTTTAAACAAAATAACTTGTAAGTTTAATTCCCCCTACCACGGTTTGGTGGGGAGGGTTCTGGGATACAGTCAATGAAGAAAGTATTGCAACATGTGCTAGGTAATACAAGTCTGACACATGAAGAAATGTCATCTTTGATTTGTGATTGCGAATTCATAATTAATGCAAGGCCTATTACATACACATCAGAAAATCCAGATGATTTGCAGCCTTTTACTTCAGCAACATTCCTGCAGCCTATTCAAGAAGCGGGCATTCCTGATATAGATCATATAGACAAAGTGAATTTCACAAAAAGAATTCAATACCAACAACGTCTTAGAGAAAATTTGAGGCAGAGGTTTACAAGAATATTGTATAATAGAGTACCTTGGACAACTACTGGTCAAATGATCTTAAAAACTTCCAGAGCATTCAATAAAAATTGGTGATACTGTCTTAATTGAAAGTATCAATCAAAAACAAGCATTTTGACCACTGGGACAAGTAATCCACATTTACCCTCGTAAAGACAGTAATAGTACATTAGTAGATTTGAAAAACTGCTTACGGAGAATTACTCGGACCTGTACAACGTATATATAGTTTAGAAATTCAAGCTTCAAGTAATTCGAATGAGGAGGAGGAACTTTCAGAAAAGAAGTTGGAGATTGTTTACGAAGTTTTAAGAAAATCACCAGAAGTGGTCGGAACATTAAAACGCCTACTAAATTCAAGGACTATGAATTTTAAATTAGATTTTGTAATTTTATAATATAATTTTGATATATCATTTATGAAAAGGTAGGAGAATGTTGCATGATTAATGTCATTTAAAGCACTACCTATTTATTATGGTTTTATATCTTAAGTTTCTCTCAAATGGCAGCATTGTTGATATATCTGTTTTGTTTTGGTATGTTGTGAATCGAGAAATTACCCTAAGTAAGCAGTGGTTAAGTTACATTTCTGAAATAATGAAAGTTTTTCATCCTTAAGATGTACAGATCATTTGATCATTATACTAAACTCTACTTCTAAATAGTCGCATTAATAGGTACAGGTAAGCCTCCTACAACACGGCATCCTGTAACATGGTTTCACTATAACACGATTAAAAAATTGCGAGAACCTTCCTACAACATGGTTTTTCTGTAACACGATAAGAAAATTGCCTAAGCAATCCGAATAAATTTAATGAACTCCGCACGAAGATTTTTCCATATTGAGCAAAGCATCCATATAGTCATTTAACACATAAGAATCCTCATTTTGTAAGTTCTGTGAGTTGTCTCCCAAGATCTGCTACCTGTAAGAACAAATGTCTTCAGAGAGACGAGCCACGTGGTGGAGAGCGATTGTTGAATTCTTGACCGGTAATGGAGGAAAATTGTTCCCTTCCATGACCTTTAAAGCACAATTGCACAACAGAAACAATACCCAGTCTCAGAGAACAATCACCAGATAACAATGAAGAAACCTCACTATCGCAGAAGGTGAACAATATGAGGTTATAATAAGTACTCTAAAACACACAACCTGCACGTCTGGCTACCAAAATTCAAACCCTCATCTTCGTGGCCTGAAAACAAAAGTGTCTCACGCTGCTAGTCGGCAGTCTGCATCTAGCCATGATGTGTTACAGAATAACTTTTCATCTTTAAGGCATTAAGTTTCAGTCTCAAAACTTGTCTGATAAAGATAAAAAACAATGTTTAAGAGGAAATTCATTTCTTTAGAAGTAAAAATACAAATTTTGGACCATCCTTTAAAAGGAGAAAAGGCATCTCACATTGGAAAAAATTTTAATTTGAACGAAGCAGCAATCCGGACTATTAAGAAAAATGAAAAAGAAATAAGAAATGCAATTTCTGCAAGATCTTCGACATTCACAAAATGTGCAGTTCAACCAGGCACCAATAATTGCCACCAGGCACCAATAATTGAGAAGATGGAAAAGGCACTCAGCATTTGGATTGATGATAGCTGTCAAAAAAGAATTCCATTGGATGTTAATATCAATAAACAAAAAGCACTCAGAATTTTTAAGCACCTTAAAGAACATGGAGAATTCTCTGTCAACCCAAATTTTCTGGCAAGCAAAGGTTGGTTTGAAAATTTCAAAAAGCGTCTTGCAACTCATAGCATAAGAATTCAAGGAGAATCTGCATCGGCTGATTATGAAGCTAAAGTTTGGCTTTTAAATCATTTTGTGCCAGACGCTGAACATTATTAAATCAGAACAATTTGAGCTTCAAAGTTCTATTACTATTAGCTGATGCTCCATGTCACCCACAAGATTTGAATCATCCAAACGTCAAAATACTGCTCCTACCACCTAACAATATTTCGTTACTCCAACCATTGGATCAAGGTCTTATTTAAACCTTTAAAACATATTACATAAGAATAGCATTACAGTGTATTTTAGATGTAATAGATTCAAAGCCATTTAAGGAAATCAAAATCATTTATGGAAGCTTTGAAGACATTTTCAATCAAGCACTGTATCGACATTGTATCTTTGAAAGAACTGAAAGCATGAATGTTAAATGCATGTTAGAAGAACATACATCCCTCTTCAGATGAACTAGAAAACGTGTGTGAATCATCAGAAAATGAAATTGTTGGCTTATTAAAACTTGCAAAATCAATCGGAGGTGAAGGTTTTATAGACAAGGCTATTGAGGACGTTCAAGATTTATTAGCGGAAGAAGAAACTGACGAAGCAGATTTGATGGAAATGGCAACTGAAGCCGTAAATCAAATCAGAATCAATTCTGAGAACACTAGCACTGATGAAGATAGTGCAATTAATAATTTAACATTAAATAATGAAAAGAAGGCCTAAGCTTAGCTGAAAATCTCAAATCATTTTTCTCGAGTACAGAGCTTTTTGCTGAAATAAGACGAAAATTAAAAAGGGAGTTGTAAAACTGTCTAGCTCCATATTGAGAAATTTACATTGACCCGGTAAGAACGAATAAGCAAATAAAATTACAGATTTTTTAAAGATGGAAGAAAATGCCAGAACGTTAAATGAAGAAACAATTCTGAAAGTGAAAGCGATCTCATTCCACTGAAAAAACATTCTCTGTTGATTATACTGAGTAATGACAAAGAAGAAATTTATTACACTAAAGTTGTATTAAATTAAAATATGTAATATTTATTGTTCTGTGTTGTATATACATCTATATATTTAATAAAAATGAAGAGTTGTTTATGTAGAATTAAAAAAATTGTTTTTAATAAGTTTTCGGAACGTAACCCCCTCTTTTTATACTAGCTCTGGGTCTCATACAACATGGTTTCACACAACACGCCATTTTCTAGGAACCTATCTACCGTGTTATACGAGGGTTACCTGTATGTGTTTGTAAAGTGAAATAAATTGAATATTAGGATATTAAATGAAGTTGGATTTCGAGTCAAAACACTTTTAGCCAACAGATAACAATACGTAAAAAGAACTTTTGGGTTCTCCATTGTTAGCACAGCACTGAATCAAATATTTTGCCACAGTGCATGCTAGCATTATGCAGCATCAGCAGAAAAGACGGTTTTTAAACATCTGTCTCAATCAAGGCCACTCCTTATCAGCAGCACCCATGATCAGCTGAGTGGTAATGTCACTGAACACTAGTGGTTCGGTCCGGGTTTTGAAATACAGCAAATGGACTGGCTTCATGGGCACTTTCATGGTTTTGTAATGTGTATGCAAACCAGTTTCCCTTAGAAAGTCCTCCATGAAGGCATACCTTCCCTTAGGCAGATAGCCCTCCAGTGCCTCGCTGATGTTAAATAAGCAAAACTGAACCTTATGAGCAGTAACAAAATAATGAGAAGAAAATGCTTCGATTCGAGAAACTACCAGACTGTTTAGATGGCACAATATTATTTCCAAACTCGGGACAACATACCTTTTACACCTCCTTTTGCAATTCTTGAGAATGACAAATAATACACATTCATATTAAAAAAAAATAATTTTAGCCATTCCTCCAAGCAGCTGCAATTTTGCTTTTAGATTTATACAATAAAGAAAATTGTTATTTGCTTAGAAATATAATGTACATTCAACTTGGAATAAAAGGAACTGTATTAATGATTTAGGATCTATACATATTTTACTTATTACAATTTTACATTTTATTCATGAGAAAAATTAATATACTCTTTTTTTTTTTTTTAAAAAAAAAAAAAAAAAGCCTTCCTTTAAAATATTTCTTTTTATCAAACTGTTCACATCAATTTATCCCATTTCTGTCACTGAAAGAAGAATAAATATTACCAAATATTAGGAAAATATTTGGTGATAAATTTGATATGAGCAAAGATTCCTTGATCCTTTCTAAGTATAAATTCATTTAAGTTTCAGTAACTAATATTTCAGAAGACATTATCCTACTCCAGGTTTTTCAGTTTCGATTTATCAAAGCTTAACTGCAAGTTCTTCATATGGGTAACTTTCAGGATTGATCATTTATTACAACTTATATCTCTAAAAATTACACTTAAATTTCCTACATAATATAAGTTAATTTTAAAATCAAGTATATTAATTTCGGGTCATTGGGATATATTGAAACCATTCCTTACATATCCACATATGAATTGTTTATCCATGAATACTCATAAAAGGAACTTGAAAGGTGATATATTTATTGTACTTTTTCCTTTTTACATTGCACCAAAATATTTACTTAAGATACACAAATTTTTCATCCCAGTCAAATCAAGCTAACGCATAAAAAATTTCCAAATTTTGCAAACTATGAGAGATTTTATCTTTATAACAACGTAATAAAATAAGGATTAGATAGTCAAATTATTGCTTTACAGTCTTTAAATAAAAGGTGATCGGATTTCTCTGAAACAGATTCTAAACCACTATTTACAAAGTTTTGAGATGGATTTAAGAGTTGAATGGGAAACGAAAGCACTAACCTACAAAAATCATATCAACATTGATCAAGGAGAAGCTTTTAATAATACAGCAAAATACTTACGAGTATACATAGTCAGAAACCAAGGAATAGCATACAGCTGTAAAAAAGAGAAATTAAGCTTAGAAGAAAGAATAAGAAATAATTAAGAATATGAATAAAGAAATTATAACCTTAACTGTTGCATTACTTTAATATTTTTTCAATTTCATTGCTCCACTCAATATGCATGTTATCATGTGTTGGTCTTTTAGTGAATGATATCATGAATGAACAGGCACGATGGAAAGGCAATTTTGATTTTTTATTGCAGCACAAATATTGTAACACTTGACAGAAAAAAGAAAAGTAATTTCATAAGAAAAGAGCAAAATAAAGCTCTAGTAGTAATAAATTTCTGATTAAATCCTTATAGAAACAGAAAAATATATTGCAGATGCTATCCTAACAATATTGAAAATCTTGTAGAATATCATTTAAGTTTCTAGTCCATTACTTTATGTTAATTTCCTTTTCTGTCAGTGTCATTTCCATTTCACTGCCTGAATGTAAACGTTTAGTTTGTGCAATATTCAAATTAGGTAGAAAGAAGGACATATTTAAAGGAAGGTCTTGAAGGGTTAAATCAGAGGATGGTCTGGCTGCTTTAAGGCAACATGGCTAACTTTGATTCTCTAGTGATCAGTATTCTGCAGCATTGAGTTATTCTTATCATTAGGTTTGGTTACATCAACTTCGGTCAGAGCCAGCTTGCATGCTAGTTATACTGCGAAGCCATTAGGCTATACATAAATTTCATTAGTTTTAGCTCCTCCATAAAATTTGATTAAAAGACTTTTGTAAGCATGAGTTGGTATCATCTGTTAACCTTTACTTGGATTAATAAAGGGTCTTTTCTTTGTGGCACTTACAAGACATAATGAAAATTCACTACTTGTCTTTTAGCGTTCTGGTCAAATTTTATGCTACCTAAGACGGCCAGACTCTATAAATTCATTAAAAATTTAAAACAACAAAGTTTAAAATGCATAATAAAACTGCAAACTTACTCATTAAGCTAAGTTCAAAATGCAAGAATTTTTACAGTCAAAGCTAGGTTGCGAATTAATATTATTTACAGCTTCTACTCCTGTTCTTATTTAACTGTCAATGTTCGGCATAGCAGAAAGAAAACAGATTATGCAAATCTCCTGGTAAAATCATTCAGAACAACTTTGAAATACATTTCTGTCTCTAGAATATTTTAAAATAACAAAAATAAATAATAAATGCTGACAAATATGGCAAGATTTATCTAACTTGAGTATAAAATCTGTTTTCAAGGGTAAAAAATTTAATTTGAAATCTCAGGCTTTACATAAGGTATCTGCAAAATTTAATGGAAATTAACACAATTATACAAAATAAATTATCTACTTCCAACCAAAAGTCAAAAATCTCAAATGTTGGAAAGGAAAGAATACTTTCGAAATAAAATAATATGCACTTCAAAGGAACAATTACACTGGCCATCAAAATTAAAAGATATTGACAGAAATAAAACATCACTTAATGAAAAATTAATAATAGAAATTTAAACAAAAGCATTAATTAACATAAATTACAATGTGTGGCAGTTGATTAATTCCCAAAATATTGAAATTAAAACCAAATTTATGGAAACTGAAAAATAATTCAAAAATTAAGTCACTTCTTGTAGAAAAATGTTTTCTTTTATATGCTGCATGGTCACCTATGACAGATATGCGTACCTCACATCTTGATTTCATGGACCAAAATGTTCATCAAGTCTTGTGGAACTTTATGCCACTCTTCTAAAAGTGCACTTCTCAGCTCCTGGAGGGTCAAGAGAGGAATTCGCCAGCTAAAATTTACCGAGACATCCCACAGATGCTCAGTCAGGTTCAAATTGAGTGAATAAGGTGGCCAATCTATTCAAGTGATATCTTCAAATTACAAGTATTTTGATACAGTCAAAAGTCGTTAATTCGGACATCCATAATTCGGAATGATCTATAATCCGGACCTCAAAACTAAAAACTTTCTGCGCATGCGCCGCGTTGACACATGCGCATAGGCGTTTACGCATGCGCGTAAAACCTTTTACGACTGCGCATATGAGTGTGCGCAAGTGCAGAATACGTTTTCGCGTGCGCGTTTTATGTACAATGGACGTATAAGCTAAAATTATCTAATTATCTATTTCAGTTAATGTTGATGATTACGTTGTTCCTTAATTTTCGAATTGGATCCGGCTTATTATTTTTTGCAGACTGTAAGAGCAATTTTATAAAAGTAAGCTAAACTTTCGATTATATCAAATAGAATTCCCGATATATATTTGTTAATATGTAAAGGATCTAAAGCGAAAGTATGTTTTGAAATCCGAAATCTGTTTATCAATTTCACGCTGCTCGGCGGGAGGGGGGGGGAAGACGCCACATGAATTGGAAGTTGATCTGTCAGCACTATCCTTATCTTTAGCGCAGATGTTTTTATTTTATTTGGCTTATAATTCCTTACCAAATGTAGTATTTCATCTCAATATGCTCCATCTTTGATATGATTTAAAACAAGTTCCTCGTCATTATAATTCGCTTCCGATAGCGAAGAAAAGTAAGAGGTTATTGAAAACGAAAAAATTTCGATTGACAAATTAGTCGGTGTCTCGACACAGGAGGATTATAGGAGTTGAACAGCGGAACTTTGTAACTGAACAAGAAATTATGTCTGTTTAATAGAATTAGAGAAAGTATTATCACATGAAACGAAGCAAAACTTAAACAACTTACATTGAAAGAAATGTTTAATAAAGTAAACAAATAAATATTAAGCTTTTTCTTTTTGCAAATTTTGATACCCTTTAGATCATAATTGTTCTTTATTTCATAAATTACAGTTTCATATTTTTAATTTTAGAATTTTCTGCATGCCATCTTACGAGATTTAAACTGATGATCTATAATCCGGAAAAATCGATAATCCGGAATCGCCGAAGTCCCGACGAGTCCGGATTAACGACTTTTGACTGTACCACATAAGCTCAATGTGGCCAATAGCAAAAAGTCTGGACCAGCAGCAACCCTAAACAGCCTAAACTGGGGCTACAATACCTCATCCACACATCCCAAAGTGGTAACAGAAACTCCTTGAAAGATATGCAGCCATTTGTCATGATTCCTCCCCAAAACATTAAACCGTTGTTGCATAAATGGGATATTTCACAGACAAGGGATGGCAAGTTGTATGTTCCTTCCTTCCTCTAGATCAAAACACACCTCGAATCATTGTTTAGATTATTTCTGGACTCGTGGGTAAACAATACTCAGACCTAGTTATCTTGGCTCCATTGAACATGATGACAGCACCAGTTTAAATGGGCCCCTCTGTAAGGTGAAGTGAGTGGGACACAAATCATTAGTTTTCTCGCATACAGTCCAACTTCGTTAAGCCTTTGTGCAGCAGATGATTTGAGTTCCTGTGGCAGGAAGGTCTCATACCAAATCTCTTGTAGTCGCTTAGTGGCTTCTTCAAGCTGATGACAACAGAAAACGGTCTTCTGATGTAGTTGTTGCTCTTGGTCACCTTTGACAAGGCTGCCTATCAACTGATTTAGTGCTCAAAAAGCGGCTACAAACTCTTGATATGACACTCTGAGAGACAGTCAAATCTTGGGCAACCTCCATTTGTGTTTGACCTCCCTTGATTCTATCAATTATTTGCAACATTGGACATTCACTTAAATGATGCCTTTGAGCCATACCTACTGAATATGGATCACTCTCAGAAGCCACATTTACTTTAAAAAACATTACAGACCAGAATTCCAACATGCGTCTTTGCGCACCACATTGTCAGTCACCAAATTTGCCGGCACTAATGCATACATGGACTTAAAATTTGGTGCTCAGTTGTATTTAATTAATATAAATAATTACAGCTTTGGGTAATGGTTGCAACATTAACTTCTTGAGCATATTTTTTCTCAATATCCTTTAATTTTGATGACTAGTGTATATTGCAATACAAAGATGTTTTTTACAGGAGAATATAAAAGGGGAAAACCCTTTAAAGCTGCGTACTGTTTCTCAATTTGATTACATCAATATCAAAGATTCCTTCAAGACTTCTCATGTACCTACCTAAGCACACACACCAGATGTTAACAGGCTTTTTTCCTCTTCTCGTCAGAGATCATGACATATACCTTTCTCATCGAAAGTTTCAGCGTTTTAAATAGAACAAGAAAACGTAAATGCCGAACAACTAACAATCATTGCACAACACAGTAGAGCTTGTAACGTATGTTACATATGGCAGTACTACTAAAAAAAAAACGGTCACTCTCCCAAAACAAAGAAGTTTGTTTAAATATAATGCACATTAATTCATTAATTAAAAAATACTCTTGGCTAAACTGCTGTATTGTAACAAACACTTAAAATTCCCTTCAACATGAAGACAAGTGAAGATGAGAAATTTCTATGGGCATTAATAACTCTGAGCTCATACAAATAATATTTAAACATCACTTAAAGTTTCATAAGCTATTTTTAATTTGCGAAAACGGAGTAAAATTTTTTATTGCATTAAACTGAAACTATAAAACAAAAAATTTTTTTCAAGTATGCATTTGTCTATTTTCCTTAAATTTTTTTTTTTTTTTTTTTTTTTTTTTTTTTTTGCAAAAATGAAACTGTACTTAAAAATGGATATCATCTATCGAGATAGAAAATCATACATGCGGACATTATTGAGAACACAAGGAAATCAACATGCAATAAATATAACATTTAAATGTATCATAATATTTTGAATTAAAGCAACTGGAAAACATTTAACAAAATTGTCTTCTTGAATTATTCCATTAAAGTTTCTTAGAATTTACATTATTTCAACATTTTTTAGTCATAGCTATGTCAAGAAGCAAATGCAATTAAAAACTTAAAGAATAACTTTTAATTTGCATTTAAGCAGAAACTGTTCAGAAATCTTTTTGAAAGAGTCGATCTTAACAGTTACCTATGCAATAAAAAAGTATTACAGATAAAATATTTAAAATTATAGACTGTGGAGACCATTATAGTTAATCTGTTACACACCATGATTAGAAATATAAAAATAAATAAGGATAGAAAAATTCCAAGAATTCTAAATGCTGAAACTGAGGTTAAACTTGCTGATGAAGATAAATTTAGTACCTTCCATTTGGATAATAAATTAATAGCATGAAGAAGACCCCCCCCCAAAAAAAGGATTTTAAACACAGGATTTAGTTTTAAAAGTAAAACATTGTGAAAGAGTTATGATATAAGTGTATAAATTTGCAGCTGGAGCTCTATCTTGAGTTTACTGATAATATTATGGATCACAACAAATGTACTGATCCATTGAAATCAGATATTATCGACGCAAAGTAATGTTAAATTTTATAAAGACACTGATCTTAAGCACACTGCTTTCAATATAGCTATGTTTCACTAAAACATTACACAAATTAAAATTTTTCTTTATAAAAGAAAATTAGCTTGTGATTATGTTTGAGGACCTTATTTTTTTACTTAACAGGTATTACACAACATTTATATTAAATTGAAATTCTATTATTTTTATCAAATTCACCAAAAATATTTTATTTACATAAAAAATTACACAAGATGCGAAAACTTCATCTTGCTGGTATTACAATTTTACTGTGTAATCTTCATGAAGGCATCAGTGTGACATACTTCTGTGGGACACCATAAAATACTGAATGGAAATGTGATATCAGCTACTGGACACATACAAGAAAGATATTTTATTAAATTATATAAATATTAATAAATAAATAAATAAATAGAGTTGGTCCCAACAGAAGAATTCACTTCACTGCCTCTGTCTCTTTTATAAAAGGAATTTTCCAGCTGCTTATGTAATTCAATGAAATTTTCTTATGTTTTTGTACTTCTTCATCAATATTTATTATTAAAATTCCTCAGAGCTTTCCAGATGACCTAATATATTAAGGGCTTTAAAAGGGTACAAATGTATGAAAAATTTAAGTCTCATAGTTATGAAATAGTGCATATAGAATCAATTTTTACCAAGATTTTGAAACAATTCAGAGCTTTCCAGAAAAATAAGGATTTTCATTGAAACTTTACATTTCTGGCTGAACTTTCATGAATCTTACTTAAAGTTAACTAGTAAAAAGATATGGATTTTATTTGTAACATTTAACATCTATAATCAAGCAACTAATATACTTTTTCTGAAGGCTTGAAAATAACATTTTTAGGTAGGAAGTTAACTTATCAAATAGCAAATGAGAACTATTGAGCTATATTTACCATTGAAGCTTTTAGCAGCTGGGGAAGGTTTCTACAGAAAGATCCCTATGATTATTTTGCATCCGGAAATCTTACAACTCAGATGATGGGAACTGAAACTGGGGAAACTATCAATGTTTAGTAGTCTTATTTATTAAGCCATTAGACAGGGACATTATTAGTGATTATCACATCACTTTCACATTTTCGTGAAATACCAAAATTCATATTAAAAAATTCGTTAACCATACATTTAGTTTAAAATTTTAAAAGAAAGATATTAATACAGAAAACTCACTTCTGGAATGAACCCTATGTTATCCAAATGATTAGTCAATTCAGGATCATGATATGCAATTAAATGTGAAAATTTGGCAAGATATTCTGTTAAGAAAAAGCATTATTAAAATTCTGTTTTGGACACTAAACATATTTCATTGCAAACATTTTAACATCCAGAGTAAGAGATCCTAATAAAATAAATATTTTTGAGAAAATCAAAGAAAGTTGTAAATCAAATGTAAAAAAATTAAAAAATATTAGGCTTAATTAATGAAATTACCATAGTTTTCACAAGTTTCAGTAAATATATAACTTGATTTTAATTTATGGATATCAAAGCTCTTAACCATCTGAGAGAGCAACTTGTTTGAATTCTTAATTTTACAGCTTCCTGTACTTATTTTGTTTGAAAAACACATAATTATCTCCACATACATGAATTACTCATTGATCATTTCAATAGCAAAAGCTTTATAAATACACAAAAATTTAACAAAATTAGTTTTCCATTAGAAAATTTCCTAAAAATTCAAAATATTTCCAATAATGTCCCATACTTTCTTTCCTAATTTTTAAGTATGACTACTTTTCTCCATGTATGTGTTTCTGTTGAACATAGAAAATGCCGTGGTTAACAAAACAAATATTTATTACTAAGTAATATGCAGAGATACACGCAGAGTTACATGCAGAGAAATACAAGCAAACAGACAGTGAAAACGTTTACAGAGGTCATATATATAACTTTATAACAGATCATGGTTTAACAAATCATAAACAAGACACAAGAAAACAACCAATCAAAAATAACATTAAGAATGGGATTAAGTTTCAGAAAAATTCGGACCTGACCAAAAGCTAATGAATATATTGGACGTGACAGAAAACTATACATCCTTTTAACCAGTAAGAATGCGATTACAAATATCTCAACAGTTTCACGTTACATGAAAATAAAATTTTAACTAAATAAGAACAGATCTGACATTCCACCAGACAGATTTCTTCGTTACTCCTATTACTAACGTGAAAAATAATAAACAAAGATTTACAGATAATTATTTCTTGCCCTTTCTAAATGAAAATTAAATATATATGTTCGACTATATTTATATCTTAAATACATATAAAATTCCATAGGCCCAGTGGCTAGCAGGTCGCGCAGTTGCACTACAGGTCCAGGGTTCGATTTCCAGGCTGGGTACAGTTGACTCAGCCTTTCATCCCTTGAGTGGGTTGATAAAATGAGTACCAAATTTGCTTGGGGACTAAACACTGGGGGTCCTGCAACAAGCTGACCACTTGTCTAAGACATATGATGACGCACTTTGGGATGCAAGGTCAAAAAAGCAGATTTCGGGACACTGCAGGCCGTGGCCCATTAGGACTGTTGCACCATTGTGTTTAATTTTCATAAGATTCCATTTTAAATATGCGAAAGAGTTACTTCATTTAAAAAGAATTCTAACTACTTTTGTCAAAGGAGATAATATACTAAATAATCTATTAGAAAATAATTTATATATAATTACAAAACATTTTTTTAAAACACAAATTATAAACATGTTTGAAAAGTTTTGTTTTAAACATTTTTAAAATTCTTTATTGCATTTATAGGATTATTTGAAATTTATTAATCATGAATTTAAATTTTCGGTTTTTGTGAAAAATTAGTTTTAAGTTTCTTACTTTTTGTCTCATATATATATATATATATATATATATTTGTCAGTTGAAATTGCACGAAAAAAGATATGCGAATTTAACATTCAATATTAAAAGAGAAATTTTAAATCAAATAATCAAAACAGAAAAAGTTTTAAATCATTCATATTACACTAGGACTTACAAGTTTTGCTTCTTGATAGATTTCATTTGAAAAAAAAAAAAAAAAATCAAGTCTTTGAAAATAATCTCGAATCTAGTTTATAAAGGATTAAAAAGTGCTTATTTACACTCAAATCAACAATATTTTTATTTCGTTAAGACACTGTGTTCATGCCTTCAGTGTGAAAAGAACAGAATGCACTATTAGGAGGAGATAATCTAAACCCTTTCCCATTAAACCGAAACACCCGAGTCTGAGTATGCAATTACAGATATAAAGAAAATAATTACGAATGTCAATGAAAAAATGTCATAAAGGAGTAACATATCTTCTAAAACAACACATCCTGTACATGAAAAGATTTATACTTCATCCAATTATAATTTAGTTAAGTAGTTTAAACTTTAAACTAATTTCACGAAACTAATAATAAATAAACCTGAGCTAAAATAACACTCTGAATAATGATTATCAGAGCCGTTAAGGCAACAAGAATCTGCGTAATATTTGTGAATTTGCAAAACTAGTTTCGAAGATTCTATGTTTAAACTTTTGAAACTAGTCCTGCAAATTTATGAACATTATGCTAGTTCTTATTTTCTTAACACTTCCAATAATAGTATGTACTTGAGTCTCTAATTGAAATATTCAGAGAAAAAAAAATTTCCTCTATTCAAATAAACACGAAATTTGTCTATTACATTAATGTAACAACATTTCATACATTTTTTTTTTTTTTTTTTTTTTGCAAAAATTTTCACTACTCTTCTTCTTGCAAGTTATAGGCACAAATTACTTTAAATGAATTTATCATCAAAGAGAAATACTGTACCTTGAATAACAGCTGAATTATCTTTCAAGAAAAAATTATACAGGTATTTAGGAATGAAGGATGACAAGCATGCATATGCAAGAGCTAAACATAAGAGAACAAAGAGAACTGAGAATTACAATACGCACACTATGAAATAACGTAAATATAATACTGAATGTGAATTTGAAAAAAAAAAAAAAAAAAAAAAAAAAAATCATCATATGAATCAAATATTCTATTCTATAATAATAAAAGCAAGTGTAATGTGTCTGTCTGTCTGTCTGACCGAGCTCTCCAGCCAAATCTATCGCACGCAGGGACCTGGAATTTTTTATACGGAAGCACAAAGGGGCTGGCCACCAGACCTCGAAGCCCGATTTTCGATTTTTGAATTAGAAAAATTTAAAAAAAAATTATTTATAATTAATTAATCACGGTTTTTTTTTGACTCACTGATATTATTATTTGTTTTCAAATAACGTTCGATTGTTGTAACAATTGATTTCTTTATTCTAGCGTTAGTTTGCTGTTTTGACGATACATTAAATCGATTAATTACAATTCATTTCTTTTTTGTAGCTTGTGGGGGGGGGAAGAGAGAGAGACAGTCTACATGTCCTACACTACTATTCCTGCGCTATTCACTTATCTGCATTTTCTAAATGCACGGGCAACGCCGGGCGGGTACACCTAGTAAGAAATAAAAATAAGATTATTTCATGCAGTTACGTAATTATAAAATGGTAGATCACACATTTACTCACAAAAACTACAAAATCTTTCATCCGATATGACATTACTATATTTAATTCCATTAACTTTGTTTTTGTCATTAATTTAAAAACAAAATTATTAAGGTCTTCTTAAAATGGCCTAGGGATTTTTGCATGCTCTTTAATGACTGCACCCACTAATCATAATAAAAATCTAATAAAAACACCAACAGCTACTGTACATTTTCCCTAAAAAGTAGTTGACAATGAAAATTACTAATAAAGTAATATTAAAATTCACACAGCATTATAATTTTGGTTCAAAAGTTATTGTTATATAATCAATTCAACTTTAAATTGTTTTGCGTTTATTTTTGCAAATTATATTAATAAATTTAATATACACACTTTTGAAGCATAAAGAAGTAAAACATTCTAATTTTTTATATACATGAACCTTTTGCTTGCATGTTATGATAAATAAGAATTTACAGTCAAAACCATCTCAAAAGTTTATTTTGAAAATTCATCTGAGAATTTCATAAATGAAACACACACACACACAAAAAAAAAAAAAAAAAAAAAAAAAAAAAAAAAAAAAAAAAAAAAAAAAAAAAACTTTAATTTGTATTTTAGCAAGCCTTGAACTTAAAGATGTATGCTTTTGTAATACAGTACAAAGTCCAAAACCTGAATATCTAATTTCCAGGCTCCCAAACCACCAGCCAAAAAATAAATAAAATAATAAAAAATGTTCTTCTCCCTTATAAAATTTAGGAGTGGAGAATATAATAATCAAAAGAAACAGCTGTGATTATTCCTGCATGTCACTTCCGAACACTTGCTAGCCAATAATAAACCTATCGTTTGACTTAGGCTGGCCAGGATTAGAGTTTCAGACCTTGAGTGGTTGTAGGCGGAGGGTCGGTGCTATGCATTTTGCTGCCCTGTGCAGTCTCTGCAGGTACTAAATACTATTGTTCAGCATCTTCCTAAATCCAGAAAAATTTACCACCCCAATTTCTGCTGTCCAGTGCTTTCCATTAATTTAAAAACTTTGTTATCCCTGATTTTTGAAACTCAGTGCTCCTTTAAAATCTAACATTTTTACCACCTGGTGTTGCTCTAGTGCTGGCCCTGTTGTAGAATCAGTATCATCTATATAAGGAGTGGCCAAAAAGTTGATCGCGATCAACAGGGTAATTTTGATCTATCATCGATCGCTCGCAATGACTGGAGTGGAATTCAGTGTACAATGTACTTTGAAGGAATTGTAGAAGGCAAAATCTTTTAGCAATAATATAAAGCATTCTGGGAATTTGCCGAGGTCATAAATTCCTAGAATTCTGACAGCCTGACACTGTGATCTCCACCCTTAAAGTGCAATACATTTTGACTAATGTCACCAGATACAATGCAGGAATGCAACTGTTAGGGCTCAACTCATCGAAGAACACAGTCAGTTAGCTTGAATATTTGGTAGTGACATACGGTAGCCTCTTTTCTTTTGTATTAACAGTATTATTATTAATCAATATTATTTATCCTCAGTGATCACTTTGGGTTTCAGTTTTTCTTCTGTTTAAAATATAATGCTTTTCTTAAATATCTATTTACTTGATAAGTGAACATTCTCGGCAACAAATCTCTAAACTGCAGTTATTACATTGAGAGAAAAATAAGAAACAGTATTACAAATATATAAGAATAACAATAATTCTATTTAAATTAAGATTTCCGTATTCAAGCCATAATAAATACATTGACTTTAACATACTTCTTGTAAATTTAAATATACCTTTATTAGATTTTAAAACACTTGTATTGCTGTGTCTGATCATAGTATGAAGTACTGTTATCATTTCTCTCAATGTAGCTGCAGTTCATGAGTTTTTAATTTTCTAGAAAAATATTTAATTCAATATTTATTCTTTAAATTGTCATATTTCTTTGCTTTCTATAGTATGCCCATGATGTACATGAGTAGTAAACCGAAGAAATCGAAAACTTATCACTTCAATGAAGAATGGGAACTCGATTACTTTTTCACAATGTTGAATGATAAATGTTGTTGTTTAATATCAGTAGCCATTGCTAAAACGGGTAATCTGGAGAGACATTTTTTAGCTTTACATAACAAGTATCAAACAGATTATCCACCAAACTCTGAACAGAGAAAACACAAAGTTAGGGATCTTAAAACTCAATTAACAAATCAAAAAAAGTGTTTTTAAAAAGCCAGGGGTTGAAGTCACAAGTAGTAACTACTGCATCATTCAAAGTAAGCTATCTCTTAGCAAAAAAAGGTAAGCCATTTTCCGACGGTGAATTTGTAAAGGAAATTTATTTTAGAAATGTCATATTCACTTTTTAACAATTTTCAGAACAAGAATGAAATTGATGTTGCAATTCAAGATCTACAATTGTCTCGAAACACAGTGATGCGATGAGTGGGAATGCAAAAGAGCAGTTATATAATGATATTAATAATCTTGTTATTCCCTTCAGTGTGATAAACCGACAGATATAAGTGATATGGCACAATTACTTGTTTCGGTTCATATGTTTTTAAAGGATTTTAGATCTAAAGAAGAATTGTTGGGTATGATTTCTTTAAAGGAAAGGACTAGAGGTGTAGACATATTCAAAGCCTTTAAAAACTTGCTGAATGATTTGAAAGTACCACTTTTAAAGTTAATCTCAATAATAAGGTGCAGCTGCAATGATAGGTAGCATAAATGGATTCATAACCCTATATCAAAAGGAAGATGAATTCCTGCCTTTAAGCTATCACTGCATAATTCACCACCAAGTGATAGCTAGCAAGGGACTAAACACAAAAGAGGTAATGGATATAGCATTTAAAATTGCTAATTCAATTCGAGGAAGTTTCCTCAAACGGCGTCTCTTCCAACTGCAGCTCGACAAAGGCCAACCTGAATTATTACTACATACCGATGTCAGATAGCTAAGCAGAGATAAATTTTTGCAGCGATTTCATGATTTATTGCCTGAAATTATAGATTTTCTTCACGAACAAGATGGAAACTGTGAAAATTTAAATGATGAAACTTGGTTTAGTGATTAGCATTTCTTACTGATTTTAGTTCAATATAAAGTCATTTAAATTTATAATTTCAATATAAAAATAAAACAGTAACTGATATGATCAGCTGCATAGACAAAAACAAAATTTGTTTTGCTAATACAAGATCTGCAACAAAATAATCTAAATCATTTTCCAAATATAGCAGATAACCTACAAATAAAAAAAAAATATTAATTATAAGATAAACAAATATGTTGCGGAAATTTAAAAAGTAATTGAAGTGTTTAACATAAGGTTACAGGATTTTGAAAAATTTAAAGAAATTGTGGAATTTATATCTTTTTCTTTTAAAAAAGATTTAAGTGTGAAACGCATTAGACAAAAAATTTCAGACATATTTCATGTGGATCAAAAAGCAATAGAAAATGAAATTATAATTTTACAAACTAGCTTAATCTTACAAATTTGAAAATTTTTTAAAGACCCAAAAATTTGAAGATTTTTGGAAATCTGTCAACCGAAAAAAACATCTCAGTATCACCAAATGTAGTGAATATACCTATTCTTGTTTTGGATCTACATACCTATGCGAATCGGCATTTTCACACTTGAAACTAACGAAGACTAAACAACGTTCTGTCATGAGTGATTCCCATACTGAAGATTTATTATTATTATCTTTGTCAGGATATACACCTAATTATGATTCTTTGGATAGGGACATGCAAACTCAGTCTTCCCATTGATGTTTAGGCAACAAAGTAAATTCCAAACCCATCTTTATCTGTAGCTATTTTGAATTAATAAATATTGTTAATAATTATCCATGTTTTTTTTTTTTTTCCCTTTGACATGAGTTTTTGGGTAGTGTTAAAGATCCCCAAAACGGCAGTAGGGGTCATTTAGACCCCTGAACACTTTTGACCGTTGATTACTTTTGTTTTATTGGAAGAAATCGTTTTAAATTTTTTGAATTTTCCTAAATAGATAACAAATATTTGTAAAAAAGATTTTCAGCATTCTAGGTTAGTTAGTTTTTGAAATATTGGCATGTATTCACAAAATGGCGGACCGGGGGTCATTTTGACCCATTTACTTTTACTTCCTGTTTCTGCTCGAGGCATTGTTAAATAACACATGAAAAACATTCCCTGATAAGAAAAGGATTTTTTGATTGCATTCATACTACTCGGGGATAAAAACCTGGGTGGTCTCACTACTTTGTAATGTCTACATAAGTTGTACCTTTGTTGCAATTAGCTATTTGAAGGAAATACTGCAAGGAAGGTAGATGCAGGGTTTCTCATGCTTACATTTCTTTTCAGAAATAGTTATTTTTA